TTAAAATATTTTTATTTAGCTTTAATTTATTTTTATTTCACTTTCAGTAATTGTAGTTCTTTTTATTTCAGTTATTTGCCAAGGCAAATAGTTTAAGTTTATGTTGTGCATCTTACATTTATATTTCATTTTATTTCAGAGTCATTTCAATTATTGAAAAGGATTTTTAATACTTTTAATTGTAGTTAACAACAACAAAATGACCAAAAATAAATAAATAAAACTAAATTGAGTCCATACCACTTGCATTTCTAAGTCTTCTGAGAAGAGATCGGAAGTTTTAATCTTGAAAGTGCTTGAAAACATTAATATATGTAGCAGCTCTTAAATCTCATTTGCACTTGGGCATATTTAAAATGGGCACATCAAGACAAGTTACACTAGGTTTGGCATTGAAAGAAATGATTTTTAGGGAATAATAATTTTCATAAAAAACAGCAGGCAAGATATTCTGCAAGGAAGAAAGAACAATTTGAGGGAGAATAATTGATAATATTTTTCTTCTCGTCTTATCATTCTGTGCTTTTATTTAGTAATAATGCATAAGATCGAAGCTAGTAAAGCTCAAAATCATCCTGTGTATCAGTGGTATCGGTGTAGAGTTCAGAGTCCATGTCCCTGTCCTTGGTTCTGAAGTCCGTCCGTTCATTCAGCTGCGCTTCTCAGATGACCTTGTGCGAGTTCCTAAAGGTGGGGCTTTTTTTCATCGCTGAAAAGGTTTTGTTAAAGTCATTTTCTGCTATCTTCCTGAATCATGTCTGTTTCTGCTTGGGCCGTTGCCTCTGTATTTTTAGGCCCCAATTATGGTATGATATCACCGAGTGAATCATAAAAACAAATTGTGTGTTAGGGATAACTGTTTAAAAGCTCTCTCTCTCAAACACACATTATAGGCTTAAAGCAAGAGCTGTCATAAGGGATGAAAATGAGTTCTGACACCTCAGCTTTTCCAATAAAGACCCCCACACTTTTTTTTTCATTGTTGGCATATAAGTTGGGCAAGTCTGAGCACGTCTTTGCTTCTGGAGTATTTGAGGCTGCGCTTCTTAGATTTTACCCTTGGAGTTAGCGAGCAGGTTCTGTCTTATTCGCTATGAACTTAAACCGATAGTTCACGCAAAAATGAAAAATCATGCTTGTTAATTTCTTGTTATTCCAAACCGTAAGACTTTCTTTCTTGCATAGAACACAAAAAAGAAATTTAGCAGATTGTCCGAACTGTTTTTTATTTTCATTTTTTTCCCCGTGCAGTGAAAGTGGATGGGACTAGAGGCAGCTGTTCACTTTCATTGTGTGGAAAAAGAGCATCTTGGACATTCTACAAAATGTATCAGTTGCATCATCCATAATATATAATTTACTTATACATTTCCCTATGCAATTTTAACCTAAACTTTTAATGTAATTTTAACATCAAATGTTGAATTTAGAGTTTGACATTAAACTGAAACCTGCAAAGCAAAATGGTTTTCCCTTTACAGTTTAGAAAGAAATGTTACATTTTGTTACAATAGAATTTGGAAAGAAATGTTTCTTTGGGTTCTTAAGTTGAATTTGAACAAAACAAGAATTGTTTTAAGAAAAAAAGGTCTGTCCCTCCCTGTAAAGAATACTTGTTTCCACATGTCAGCAAACAGCAGCCAACTCCAAAGTACAGCCCTCCAAAAATATGGAAATCATTTATACTCTGAGCTCAGGTGATTTTTGGGAAAACATCTGGCATTGTCCATACAATGAAAGTCAATGGGGTCCAAAACAACAGTGGGCATTGGACATTTTTCAAAATATCTTCTTTTGTGTTCCACAGTACGAATTCATACAGGAATGGCATGAGACGGAATAAATGATGACAGAAATTTTATTTTTGGTTGAAAAAACTCCATCCTGGCTCCTAAAAGAACAACCTCTGAGGGAAAAAAATTCTCTTCGTTCATTTGCTATTTGTTTTTTCTAACCTTTATGTTATTGACGGCAATATGATTTTTCTTGCTCAAAGAACTTTTAAATATTTTTTTTCTGTTTCTCCCAGCGTGTATTGGGAGGAACAGTGGAGCAGTAGCGTATGTGATGCTGGCTGCAATTTCACAGCCGTTAGCATAGGCAGCACATTTGTGAATTTATTGACGGAGATGGGGAGTTGGCTGAATTTGCGGGTGGCATGCTGAAACATGTCCATCAGGCTGTCAGACTCGTCATTATCACTTAGGCCGCCAAGCCTGCCCAAACGTGCGCCTTTCCAATGCTCACCTTCCTCCAGCCTATCATCTTATCACCTTACAACACTTACACTGTGTCTACACTGCAGGCGAGTGATGCACCTTTTTTCTTTTGAGATTGTTCTTCTGTGGCATCATTGCAAAACCCCTCTTTTGGAACCTTATTTATTTATTCACTAATGGAGCTCTTCCTGTTCCTGTGTGCTGTCAACACTTTAATGTCCTTATCTTTCAAGACATTTTTGAATTCATAAACGTGCGCCTTTCCAATGCTCACCTTCCTCTAGCCTATCATCTTATTCCACCTTACAACACTTACACTGTGTCTACACTGCAGGCGAGTGATGCACCTTTTTTCTTTTGAGATTGTTCTTCTGTGGCATCATTGCAAAACCCCTCTTTTGGAACCTTATTTATTTATTCACTAATGGAGCTCTTCCTGTTCCTGTGTGCTGTCAACACTTTAATGTCCTTATCTTTCAAGACATTTTTGAATTCATTAAAACTTTTTCAAACAAATGATAATTTCAACTGAAGTTCAGCTAAATGGTGAGTGTGATGGATTGAGTGTGAAACAGTAGCAGGGTGATGTGAGTAAGGGTGTGAGTGTCAGATGGGCGTGTTGAGACGTCTGCCAGTGCTCGCACATCTGCACCCAATGATTTATGCTGCTCTCCCCTGTCTGTGTGTGTGTGTGTTACTCATTTACAAAATCTCCCAGTGAAAGTGTGTGAGGAAGTCCTGCTGATGTTCTTACAGTCAAATAAATATATAGTTCAGTCATGAAACTCTAGATGGCGCAGGCTGATGGGTTGTTAACTGATGATATTCAGAGAGTTAAACGACTTGGCACAAGCTGATTGGTTCATGCTGCATATGCAGCCAATGAGCTTACTGCCTTGCATTTATATGGCTGGCTAGCATTCTCTAGAGATTCCTGCAGTGTGCTTTCAGAGTTTCTCTGAAACCCTTCACCTTCCCCTGCTCCACCTGTATAGATCTGCTACGGGTTATTTTATATGCTATTTGTGCAGCAGCAGTATGTCTTAAATACTCACGGCACCGTATCGCCGTATGCATTGGCAGTAGCAAGTTCCTGTACTTGCTTGCAGCAGCAGCAATAATCTTCAACTACAACAATAACCAACAGCAGCAGTAGCAGCAATGCAGCAGCAGCAGCGTAGCAGTTCTGTTCCGCCAAGACCAAATACATTAACATTGTCATGTACATTACCATGCTAAAATCTTCCGAGAGTTGTCATGATTGAA